TATATATATAATAGCTTGTAGTCATGTGAAAAGGTTAGACTGGAACACTGCAGGAATTTTTCCATAGGGTTTATCTCTTAGAATCTGTTATGGAGACCAGCAAACTGTCCTCCTGGCTTAGTTTTTTAGTCAAATACTTGCAAGGAGTCTTTTCAGTACTAGGTAGTGAAACTTTGAGTTTAGTGAATTCTTACCAAATAAGCACAGAAAGCAGATGAAAACATCCAGTGTTGCTTCTCCTTTAAGTACTGTACCAGTTCTGCTTTGTGGCATTAAAGTTCTGTACTTCAAGCCTCAGGACCAAGGAGGAAGCAGAAGGGCCAGAAAACAAACAGAAGTTTAAAGAAAACCTGCAAAGAATTTGCTTGTCAACTTGACATGTAATAGGTGCAGAAAGGGCAAAACCAGATAGAAGACTGCAGTGTAGGAAGACCTCAGCAGATAGGGGAAAGAGGATGCTGACTGAAATAAGAAGGGACAGCTGTATGTCGGGAAAAACAACATGGAAAGGAAAATGTGACCATTTTATACAGGGCAGGGACATATGAGTAGGAAGAGGCAGAGAAATAGTTCAGAGAATATCCGCCTCATCCAGAACTCCACTTGCATGTTTGCCAGACAAACTTTTTTTTCCTCACCTAAAATATAGCTGCTGGATTACTTATTGCTGCAATCGATCCCACGTACTCACTTTGTAGAATGAATGCTTTGCTTTACTTCACATGCAGCATCTGCCTGGGTCAAAATCTCTACCAAGCTCCAAAATGCATTGGTTTTACTATGCTCATTAAGCCTTTTCAGTGCAATATTGTCTGCTGCTCTGATCATGGTGTATGTTCTTGGGTATATACCTATATATTCGCATCTGTACAACAGTGTACAGATACTTGTACCAAGTACAAGCTTGTTACCCTCAAGAGTACCTTGAGCAGCCTTGTGTTCTCACATGCAGATCTTTTAGCTTGGTTCAAACACAGTCCAGTGCTTGAGCTCTGATTGTCCCAAAATACGACTCCGGAAGAGTATCCTGGCACTCTGTTTAGTGCCATATGGATATGAAAATGTAGCTAGGACAGCATGCTGAAGCAGGTGTGTCTCGTGATCATGTTTAGTTAGAGTGAAAAATCGGTCCAAGAAACTAATCTTAAATCAAGCATTTATCTATAGAACTACCTGCTTGACCCTTTCAAGTGTCCCAGACTGTTTCATTTCCACAGTTTTGCTGATGCTCTGCTGATGCTTTTCTAGCCTGCTGAAAGCTGGGGGGGGAAAGATGGGGTGTGTAGTCCACCCAAACAGTGAGGTGATGGGAACATGCCAACAAACACTGAAAGGCAACAGCCCTGGAAAAAGAACAGGCTCGCTATTTACTAGCACTTAGGTTTTCCCCTTGAGTCAGAGCAGAGGGACAGGGAAAGTGCTGCTGGCAATTTTCCTCCTGTGAGTTCCACCAGCTTCTGCACTTGCACCCTAACCTGCAACAAACAGGAGGGCAAATCAGTGTGTTTGAAATGGCAAGTTCTGTGCTAGCTGTCTTTGCTGTGTATGATGGGATGCCAAGTCAAGAAGAGCTTTGAATTGGTGCTGCTTAAGCATTCTTCTTCATTATAAATTCTCTGGAGAAGGCTAAATGTATTTTAACCCTAAGAAGGTGCATTTCATTACACTATACCTGGAAGAATTGTTTTGTAAGGTAGAGAGGGAGCTTAGAACTGCTTTCGTAAGACAAAATAGAAATAAAAAAGGGATTTAAAAAAATATTCTGCCCTCTGTGTTCTTACAGTCGAATCCTTTCCTCCAAGCATAGTTTCTGTCTACAGTCTGTTGGACCCATCTGGTTCCCTCCGAAGTTTCCCTTTTTCTTGCTCCTGAGGCTTACCTTGGTTTGCTCCCTTGAGTATTAACAAGCCCCAGGTGTCTTAACAACCTAGAGACTCCCAGCTCCTTTCATGGTCCCTTTTGCCTGCCCCACACTGTGATCTGGAAGGGTCTCCTTGCAGCAGGAGCGGTTGTTCCAAGGCCAGAGCCGTCTCCCCCCTGCAAGGCTCCGCCTGACCCAGCGCTTTCTCCCCAGAGGAGCAGAATGTGCACCCAGGTATATGCCTGGGAGCTGCTGTCATGTCCCACATCTACGCTGCAGACTTACTCTTTTCCAGAGACTTGCAGGTTTTGTATAGAAGAATTCAAATACACGCTATCAGGGGAAAAAAAACTTATTAGAAATTCATTGTGCAGGCAGAAGTGGGAAAAACTGCATTACCAACACAACAGTGTTGAGGTCTGGATAAACATAAGATAAAAGGTGAGATTGTGATGCAGATTTGAGGGAATGGATGTTGTGTCAAGATGTCTAGACCTCAGTTGCTTCAAGCTGTTAAAGACATGTTATACTATATTTTGGACGTAGACCACATGTGCCTTTGTTTTTAAGGATTTGTGTTTTAATAGGTCCTTTGCCTGGTTTCCGCCTGTGTTTTCAGTCGTCATATGCGGCTCACTAGATGAGAGTATTTAGTGTCAAGCACTGTGATTTGGTACTTAATAAGTGTTAAGAGCTAACTGTGATTTGGTAGTTAATATAATTATTACCAGTGGTTAAAGGTCTAAAATCAGTTTGTAGGAAAAGGTTAGAGAAGTTATGCTTAAACTGGTTATTTCCCAATCAACTGGGCCCAAATGAATTCACCCTAGAATACCTAGAAAACTGCCTGAAATAATGTCATAGACATTAGTGCTTATCTTCTCCAAACTTCTGGAGATTGGATGAGATTCAAAATATTGAACCAAGTAGATTATTAAACCTGAATAGTGGCGAGGAAAGGAGAAAAGGCTAACATAGATTAGTTAAGTATAGCTTCCCCTTGATAAATCCCGTTTCTTCCTGACAAGGTAACAGGTCTTCTGGGTAGAGGTGAAAAAGCAGGTGACATAGATCTTCCTTCTATTAAAGCTTTAAAATAGTTTAGTTCAGTCTATCTGGCCCTGGCTTACTATGAGAATGTCATATGAGACTACATTACCGTAAATGATAACTTGCTGGAAAACCATATTCAGTAACAAAAGTTATTAAGAGACTGACTTGATTGGAAAACAGATTTTAAAATTAAAAAAAAAAACTGTAGAGGTCTGTTTGTATTTGGATGCTAGTTCATGTTTTCAGTCAGCAAATCTACATGTTAGAGATTACGCTTTTAAATTTGAAGATAAAGGCAAAAGAAGATGGAAAGGGGATTTAAGTTCATCAGAAGACACTGGATTACAGTTAAGAATGATCTTGATGTATGGGAGAATTGCGCTGCAAGAAGGACATGAATTTTATTAGTGACAAATACAGATCATGATGTACTGGCAGGAATAATCAGCTGAACAAATACAGCACAGGGGTAATTACTGGCTGGAGCAGTTCCATAGAAAAGTGGTGCAGATGACAGTGAATAACCTGAATTATGCCCAGCTTTACTCACTATTTGAAAGATTTTGATTGAAGTGATGGTTATCAACTGGAGAGAGCTCATAAAAGAGCAGTGAGAAAAATTAGGCGGCTAACTTCACATAGGAGAGGTTGAAGAGACGGGGGTCAACATGAGAAAAGGAGCCTAGACGAGGGAATCGAGTAATGTTCTTGAGGGAGAGAGGAGATGGAAAAACAAAGCTGATGCTAAGAGGGAGAAAATGTTTGGGGTTTTCTTTTGTCTGTCGTGGGCAGGAAAAAGAAAATTACCTGAAATTAAAGCGAGAGAGATGTGAGTGTCAGATGTTAGAAAGACGTCTTATGGTGATAAAATGTCTGGTGAGAGTGTGGGATGTCCATTATTGGAGTCTTGAGTAATGAACAAGGCACAGATCTTTTAGGAGGGGCCTTAAGGTTGCATGTTCCTGCTGTTGATAAGGAATGCACTAGGTGGCCTCCTGAGACTTCTCCCCACCCAGGGATTCTTCTGCTTTCAGTGGACATGTCAAAGAAGGCACATCTGGAAAACAAAAAATCTTTAAGCAATTAGAAGACACTCAGTGGTCACATTTTTCTCAACATTAATATTGAAAATTATTTGCTTACTTTTTACTAAGCTGCATGTCCTCAATTTACATTACTGACACTGGTTCTTAGGCAAATATTGCTTGTAACTTGTTCCTGTTTTCCAGGTGACAGAAATGGTATTCAGAAACACAACCTTGTTCAGAGTATAAACTGAAACCACAAGTCTGTAGTAGTCGACTGAAAGATAGGAGTTGTCAGCTAAGTGAAATTATAGTGAATGTCATTCGCTGTGTTTATTGAATATATAATTCACTGTAAATATATAGTTAATGAATTATTTAGTCATCAATTCCAGTACTACACGTGACCCTAAATGTTTTTGTCCCTAGCAATGATGCTTTTCTTGCTGGTTGGCAGTGGAATTGTGTATTTCATGGTCTTCTCTTTTGCTACAGGTTTTGGGCTGGATCCGAAATGGGGAGTCAATGTTAAATGCTGGGCTTATCACTGCTAGCTCTTTGCAGGAGGCAGAACAGTTACAGAGGGAACATGAGCAGTTTCAACACGCAATAGAGGTAAAAGTACCATTTCAGTGACCATAGCCAAGAAGTCCTGTATTACAGGACTTTGTGAAGTGATAGCCATTTTTTTGACTGGAGAGGAATTAAAAAAAGATAATAAATCTAACAAGTCTGTTCACAGCAATTTTACCAAAAATGGTGTTTCCCTTTGATAGAATACAATAATATAATGCTAATTGTTAAAGTTAAGAATAAATGGAACAGCAAACATCAGTTTTGTGTATTCTCGAATGATCCTTTAATGTTGCCATTTTTGTTTGACAGTAGGTGTCACTGAAATTTGTGTCTGGTGGTATGTCCATCCTCCTGCCATGATTTCAAACTAAATTTATCAGATTGGTCATATCTCTGCAAAAAATAGGCAGAAATCTTAAGATTGACTGGAATGTGGTATTATTAAATTATGAGTGATTGAGGGACTTAGGGTGATATTGATTATATATAGCACAATTCTTTTTAAGAACTTTACTGTTGTTGAAAGATTAACCAAAGTTATGATTGTTTGGGAAAACTGTTCTCAGTAGTAGTCTGTTGTGCAGTAACTCTCTTCATGTTTGTCTGCCATTCTCTGGAGTTTTAGGTTTCCCCCTTTCTGTTTTTTTTATGTGGGTTTTTTTTTTTTTTTTTACAGTTTGCACTATATGTACCCTCATTTTGAGAGCTTTGGTAACTCTTAAGTATAAAAATTATGAGAACTCCAGATGTTTGTCAATTTAAGGAAAGGTGGTTAGGAAGCTTAAATTCTGAGTTTTCTGGATCATTCTGTACTTGGATGTAATAATATTTATTATAGTTAGAGGTTCCAGATTTTAGGCAAGTGTATGTTTACACAGAGAACTAGAGTTAAAAATTTGCTTACAATGGATGGAGTTGTCTTTTGTGTTGTCCTGCACACCTGCACCTTCATTTGCTCACTACTAATCTGCAAAAGACTGTGGTAAAACTGTGAGGACAGTAATAGTAATCAAGCCAAAATAAGATACATCCTTTCCATCTTTTTTTTTTCCTCACCATGAAGGGAAAGAAAATCAACCTGAAATTCATAATTCTAACAAAGTGTACTGCAACATAGATATGCCATGTGTGGCTTAATGCTATGCATTGGCTGTTGCTTGTAAACTGCTAGTCATTGTTGATTTAATAAGTCTCTACAGGATTTATTTTCTTTGTATTTGCATAAGTGAAGTCCTCCAGTGACTAATATTAGACAGTTATTTTTATTAATGGGTGTTTGTGCATGTGTATAGAACTGTCATTGACACAGTGGAAATGTGAGCCTTTGAGGTCTTCAAGAAAATGAACTGAAATGTTCCACTGAACTCCTGAATTTTCACCTCTTGTCAGAAAACGCATCAAAGTGCCCTGCAGGTTCAGCAGAAGGCAGAGGCAATGCTGCAGGCTAATCACTATGACATGGATATGATCCGGGAGTGTGCAGAGAAGGTTGCTTCCCATTGGCAACAATTGATGCTGAAGATGGAGGACCGTCTCAAGCTTGTGAATGCCTCTGTTGCCTTCTATAAAACTTCTGAACAGGTATAGAAATGCTACGTGATCTGTGTCTGCCTTGGTTAATTCTTCAGTGCGGCATAAAACAGCATTACCTCAAAAAATGGTTGACTAGGTTTGGTTGTATTTACTAATTTGGTAACAACTGCAGTTATACAAAAAATGCAAAAAGCAAATCCTCTTACCAGCTGCCTTAGAAAGAGAAACTGTGTGTTGCAGCCTTTCAGTATATGAAGTGGTCTCATAAGACAAAGGCTTTTTACCAAGGCCTGTAGTGGCAGGACAAGGGGCAATGGTTTTAAACTGAAAGAGGGTAGATTTAGATCAGATATAAGGAAGAATTTTTTTTTACAGTGAGGGTGATGAGACACTGGAACAGGTCACCCAGAGAAGTTGTGGATGTCCCGTCCCTGGAAACATTCAAGGCCAGGTTGGATGGGGCTTTGAGCAACCTGATCTAGTGAAAGATGTTCCTGGCCATGGCAGGGGGGTAGGACTAGGTGATCTTTAAAGGTCCCTTCCAACCCAAACCACTCTATGATAAATGAGTAGCAGACAAATTGTACTAACTACTAAGAGACTACAGTGTAATTGGTCTGCCTATACTTGCTTCAATTAGCAAACTTCAAAGAAGGTACACTACCAAAGTGCAGTGGTTATTGGCGAAGACTCAAATCTTCATCTGCCTCTTCTATCACTCTCCCCTTTAATATTCGACAGATTCTTATTTTTAATTGAGAAAAGTATTGTAAAACATTTTCAAGATGAAACACACTGTACAAGTGCTTAGTTGGATTTCTGCTTGTTTCAAGTTTTGCTTAAACCATAAACAAGTTACACAGAGGTTTTAATGGAAGTACTTCAGATGGCCGATTCTGGTTTTTGTGTGGGAGTCGGAGAAAAATCAGCTTCATCCTACTTGTCCACAGAAGAGTTAGGGGAAGGTTGGCAAGGTTGCTTCCTCTGCAATCATGTCTTAAGCCCATCCTGAACTATGCAGTCACAGAGGCAGAGAAAGATGAGCAACTTTAGGGATAGCCTTCTGAGCAATCCACGTAAGCAGGCCAATGCTTGCAAACCTACAGGCAAAGTTTGTTGCCTTCTCATAAGTCCCAGTCAAAACATGTCAGAAGCTAAGATACATGTAAAGGCTAGATTGGTTTTCCATTTTTTTTGGCTTGAATTTGGATTTTTTGTCTTACTGAATCACATTCGAGTTGGACTCCTTCTTCCTCATAGGTGTGCAGCGTGCTGGAAAGCCTGGAGCAAGAATATAAGCGAGAAGAAGACTGGTGTGGGGGAGCAGACAAACTGGGTCCCAACTCTGAAACAGATCATGTTACTCCCATGATAAGCAAACACCTGGAACAGAAGGAGGCATTTCTAAAGGTAGGGTTTGCTATTTTTTTGTGGTCGTCTGTGTCTTGAAAAGCATGCCGTCAAACGCTCACTCTTACAGTGCTGAAAGGCATGTGGAAAGCAACAGTGCCCATTCAAAAGCTACAGGTATGTCCCAAACTGCAAAGATGTGGGAAATGGCATGTTAACTGCTTCTGACAGTGATGAGGAGAATACTGCCAAGCGCATAAAATTGTAGCCAGTTTTATAAATATATTTGCTGTTGAACTTATAGATGTCAGGTCTCCCACTGTGACTGAAGAGGAATTGGGAATCACTGCTTTGAGCAACTGTCATTCTAAAGAATGCTTAAAGGCTGCTGCTTTGGAAGAGAAGCGACAGTCGCATAGTGCCATTGCTGCCTGTGCATCAGAGGTGCTCTCAGATGTACTTGGACTACAGTAGAGTACGGAAGGAGGAAATTGCTAGACAGGCATCTGGGAGTAGTTGGGTTTGTGTAAATACTCTGCGGATAAATGAAAAGTTTTCATTCCAACTAATGTCCTAGTGAAGAGGGTTATTGATCTTAGTGAATAAATGTGTAATGGATACTTGCAAAGCAGTGTAACTAGCCCTGTAACCAAAGGCTTTTTCTAGCATCACCTTGAAAGACGTCAGAGTATAAAACTTAGTTTTATTAAAAGCCTTTTTGTTCTCAGCACACAGATGGGAACATTCAAAAACATATTAGCATAGTTCTAAGTATACTGTCAAATAGATCTTTCTGCAGCTGGCATGTGAGTTTCCAGTCTTTGTGTTAAAACAATTTGAGAAATGACTTAGTGTCTCTGTTACTGGATCTAACCATGCTACCTTTATCTAACCTTTTAAAGTAGCATTTTGTGTTCTGCTTATTAAAAATAAGGCAGCCAGCCCATATGTAGTACTTGGTGTACATTAAGATGAAGGCGGCAGCTGAGCTGAGTGTTGGCAATACAGCGGTGAGGACTGAAAGCTCTCAAGGCCTTGTCTTAATATTTTAAGGGCGTGTCTTAATATTTTAGCGCTTTTGGTTTCACTTCAGCTGAGTGTTTACTTTTTGTTTAAAGTAGTGGTGGAATATCCAGGTGATTACATAAGCATGTGCACTCTGTTTATGCAATAAGTAACTTCAAGTGGCACATGGCACATACACAAAACAAACTTCTCTGTGAGCTCTGAGTCATGCTGAAAGCTCTAGAGTAGGTAATTGCTTTCCAGGATCTTCAGATAAAAAGTAATAGCATTTTGTTTGGGGTTTTTTCTGCCGGATAAGTAAGGATTAACTGTTATTTGTTGGGAAAACTATTTTAGTGCTTGGGTTGGTTTACTTGTAGAAGGATTTAACAATCAACGCTTTTTAAAATTGGGGAGGGTGGGAAACACACAAAAGGGGGATGAGGAAGGTTCTTCATATCTTTCTGGATGTGTAAGTGTGCATCTTCAAAGAAAGTAATATAGCTGACTCTTTAGGCTTGCACACTGGCTCGGAGGAATGCTGACGTCTTCCTGAAATACCTGCACAGAAACAGCGTAAACATGCCAGGGATGGTGACACACATCAAAGCACCTGAACAACAAGTCAAAAGTAAGGGGTTTCTTGTTCTTTTTGTCTCCAAAGAACGTGATCATCATGTGTTGTGGTGTGTGTGATGATGGGGGAGTGAAGCCTGCCCAAGTGGAAAGGGTTCTGTCAGGCTTAACAGGAAATAATTAAAATTGCTCGCACACTTTGAAGGAGCTGCCAGTCATCAAATTCTCTTATACCCAAATGAAGTTGCTTTGAATTTATTTATCTCCTGCTTACACTTAATCTTCTTTCAATTTGAGACTCAAATGTGCTGCTTTTGTTCAGAGAATGAGATAGTAAACTTCCACATGATGATGTTTGCTCTGAAGCCAAATGGGAGCTGATCACTGTAAGCTTACTCAGTGTGTTAGTGTGGTGCATTCTCTGAGTTCCTTGGGAGTGCCAGGGTGATACAAGATAATCCCTTGAATGATGCCTTTGGACCCTTCATGTAGTTGAATCAGTATTAAGGAACTTCATGAAGTACAGGATAACTGACATCACGTTTAAATTAGATGTGTAGATAGGTAGTAGTTGAGGTGAGGCAGGAAAGAACTAATACATGGGGCTTGGGCTTTGCTGGGATTAATTCAATGTAGTGCAGCTTTAAGGTGTAACATGCACTGTGGGGAATGGAGTAGAGAGAGAAATCTGTAGGGCTTTCAGGGACAAAAGGACAGAAATTAATAGGGTATGCGTAACTGATGGGTGAGGTAGGCAGAACAGAGATCAGAGATATTCAGAGATCAGAAATAAATATTGCATTTTACTCATTTATTTGCCAGTTGTATTCTGCTTGATGCATTTTGAAGCTGTGACTGAACACTCAGACCATGCTACAGATTCAAAACCAGAGAATTCTAATTGTCTAATTGCTGTTTGCAGCTACTCAAAGGGGAGTTATGCAGAGGATGGAGCCAAACTCAGAGGAACACGGCAATAGGACCAGAGGAAAAAGTTGCAGCAAGGAAAATTCTGAATGGGTATAAGGAGAAAGTGTTACAGCAAGAGTGAGAAAGCACTGAGTAGAGCAGGTAGCCCAGAGTGGTAGTGGAATCTCTGCCCTTGGGAATTTTTAAAACTCAGTTGAACAAGCCCCTGAAAAACTTTGAAGTTAGTCCTTCTTTGAGGAGGAGATTGGAACAGATGGCCTCCAGAGGTCACTTCCACTCTGAATTGTTTGGTGACTCTATCAGAAAAGGACACGCTCGCTGCTTCACTTTACTACAAGAGGAAAACAGTTTGTGTTAAACTTGCCCATGTATCTGACAGTACTCAAATTGAAAATCTCACTGTGTTGAATTTTTTGTGTTGGAAACATAATAGGGTATTGGCCATACTTTTCACTCTAAGGAAATAATTGGATTGTGGCAGTTGAAACTTTGAGCATGCAGAGCTAAGACAAAGGATTGTTTTTCCTCTGTCCCCAAGGCATCAACATTTATAGAACTGTACAAGACAAAATCTCAACACAAATGCCGGCAGTATCAATAACTGAAGAATTGTTGCTGACATTTGTCACTTAGCTCTTCTCTTAGTAGTAGACAAAGGAAACAAAGCAGAAGAAAGCAGGAAGTTGTAGCTACTGCACTTACTGAGTGGAAGAAAAAAATGTTAGGGCTTTTAGACAAACTTTTTAAAAATTCGGTTTTGAAAGCTGTGTAGAAACAGTCATTCTGAGAACGGTAAATGTGTTCAGATGAGGAAAGGGTAGGGAATTCTATGCTAATGACCTTAAGAATAATTATATGTCAGAACTGTAGTGCTGTGCATGTTCTGTGTACATTTAAAATCCTGGACGAATGATACATGTTTAAGAAGCAACAAAAAAAGCAACAAAAATCCCCAAGCAGGAAAAAAATAAGCTATGTGCTCTAACGCTTTTTCCCCATAAGCCATGTAATATATGCTTCTGAGAATTAAACATGAGTCAAGATAAAACTAGCGAGGACTCCTTCCTTTTAGGTCTCAATGGTATGGTGGTAGCTGACCAAAGGATTTAAAAGTTCACTCTGATTTTCCTGTTCAAATGTGCATGTAAGGAAAAAAAAATTATTTTCATCTCTTTTCTAAATAGATAGAGAAAAAAAAAATAATAGAGTGTTTGTTTCATTTTGGTGAAATAGACGTTACATGTGTTCTGCTGGACCATTACACACTCATACTCAAGTGTATGCTTGAAACAGTGTGTCAGACTGTGATCAGTATATAGTATATAAATGAACATTTTCAAAGCTTGAGTAACCCTTGAGTTTCTGCAGAACTGCTGAACGTTTTTTCAAAAACCTCATTCAGTGGCATACTTGATCCTTATTCCCAGCTGCAGATTATGATATCTAGAAAAGCAATGTCTTAATCTAGGCAAAGTTTAGCTAAGCACATGCTTCATGGGAAACAGGAATCACAATGGTACTGAACTCTGAGAGGTGTCCTCCTGTCCCTTCATACCAGTGTAAATAATTTCCTTGACCTGCAATTAAGAGTATCCAAATACTGTATTGGACGCTGTGCCAAAGCTGAATTTTAGGAAGGAGTTGTGGCCTGAAACTGTGCTGTGGCAGGTGGATTCAGTCGGTGACAATTGCTGTAAGCTCAGAAATGGAGCATTTTCATCTTTGCTTCTGCTGCTAGTTTCATGTGCTTCTTTGTTACCTCTGTCTCTGCTATATGGGCTTCAACTGAACATAGTGCAGGAACTTATCTCATGGTGCTCATATTTTTAGATAGGTTGACAGAGAGTGCAGGATGCATATAGACAGCTGAAAGCTCTCCAAGCCTGGAGAATAAGCTGGAAGTTTAGGAGACAATCCTAGCAAATGTTGGAATCAAAGAAAATAACAACAACAGGGACTATAGTTCAGAAGGCTTGAGATAGAGCTGCTGGTCCAAACCTAGTATTAAATGTTGATGTTCTATAACTTCCTTTGAGTATTTTATAGAATATTTTTTTCTCTTCCTTGTCAGTCCAAGAAATTAATGGCAATAACACTAACGGTGCCCAGCCAAATGTCTCTCACTGGCTTGCCATCTGTATCATGTCCTGACAGGACAAATGCTGTTCCAATTAGCTAAATTCACCTTGCTTGCTCTTTGTCAGAACTACTTCGCTTGCGTCACTATCAAGATGTCTCTTTTTATATGGTGTGTCCAGTTGGGTGTATTGCATTGTATAATGGTAGTCGTCTGTGTGTCTGCCCTGCCCCCTGAAATCTGGCATATGTTCTGAGCAAGAGTTTTGGAGGTGGCGTAAGGCAGAAATAAAACTGAGAAAGCAGGTGAGGCTCATAGCAGATCAGCTCATGGCTTGGCTAAGGGACAGATCGGTTGAAGCATATTTGAGGGTAGCCTGCCCAGCAGGAAGAAAACCTTGGCTGCAGTGACCAGATTCCAACCAAAAGCAAGTCCTGGGTGATCTCAACACTGTGGCAAGCGGGAATACGGTGCTTCCAAGCAGGAGGATGTTGGCAGCAATGCAGACAGGTTTCATAATCCTCAGGAAGGCTGTGACGAGTGGCTGTAATTGGTCCCAGATCACTGATAGAGATAGAGATGCTTTTCCCCTCAGGCTCCCTTTATTTGAGCTTCTCTGTCAAACTGTTTCTTGGAGTTGTTAACTTTTAGGATGTAAGGCATGGTGGACCTGCACAGTGGGACAGGGGAATGCAGAGGCATTAAGAAGCCTAGCACCTGAGAGCCTCCATTTGTAATTATGGAAAATAGCCAGCTGTAGGTGTAAGTAGAGAAGCAAGTAAAGCATTATTGTGAAGAATGAATCTTTTTTACAGTCTCTTCTGGTAGACCTCCCCTTGGGTTCTTTGCACTTCATAGAATCATAGAATCATTAAGGTTGGAAAAGACCTCTAAGATCATCGAGTCCAACCGTCAACCCAACACCACCATGCCCACTAAACCATGTCCCTAAGCACCGCATCTACATGTCTTTTAAATACCTCCAGGGATGGGGACTCCCCCACTTCCCTGGGCAGCCTG